TCCTTCCAGTTTATATACAAAAAAATACAATTGCGAGTTGAAGAGAGAAGGCCAGAAAAATGCTGAGGGCTCTTCAATTTTAATTTATTTTTTTCTTTTTGTTGGAGTTTATTTGATTTCGTCGACATTGCACTAATTTCTGAATCTCTTCACTTAGGGTTTTGTTATTCTTGAACTTTTGCAATTCTGATTAACTATTTTCGTGTTGGATCGCTTTTCACATTTTTTTTAAAATTATTTTCTTGCCAGAAAAAAAGAAAGGTTTTTTGACCTTTACTCGATTTTTATCGACATCAATTCTAATATTAAGTGTTAAATTAATGTTATTAGTATCTCAGTTATATCGGGAAATCTTTGTAATAGAGTCGACGTCTCTGCTGTTCTTTCCTGGGGTCCTATATACAACATATCGCCCAATATTTCCATTCGTTTGGAATTCGTATCTATAGACAACATTTTGTGGGTTGTTGTGAAGAAAAATCGGGTATTAGTTTCGGATTGCAAACAGTATTTTGTTATCCACCATAAACTGTTGGGGTGTTACAAAAGATTTCAGTGTATGGGAGAGCAAGAGGGATGGGCGGATCCTAGCGGGCCATTACCAAATGGACTGTTGCCAGGAGCAGGCCAGGTGATGCGGGCGCTTGAAACCGCCAGATGGTTGAAAGCGGAGGACAGGACGGCAGAGCTCATTGCCTGTATTCAACCCAATCCGCTATCTGAGGAGCGCAGGAATGCTGTTGCAGATTACGTGCGGCGGCTCATCATGAAATGCTTTCCCTGTCAGGTGATTACAAACGTGTTGCCTGTCGTTTACTTATTCTGCAAGGTAAGTTGTACCATAATTTGGTATATTGAATAATGGTATATAAGTGACAATAATGAATAATGGTATATTGGCATTTGTAGGAATTAGAAACACGAGGCCTATAAATTTACTTTAACTGGATTATTGTTTGAATTCTGCAGATGAATAAAAGGACACTGGTAAGAATTCTTCAATGTCTACAATGATATTATTATAAGACTATGATTATTTGTGTTTTGCTATGACGCACCGACATGGATACGCGTGTTCAACATGACTTATCGGACACGTCGACGTGCAATTTTCAAAAATAATATTAACACGACATCCATGGCATATAGATTAAATTATTTAAAATTCTTCATTTATATTGTATAAATTTAATTTTATACTTGTTATTAATTTTTTTATTGAACATTTTTATTATTTAACAATAATTTTGAGTTAAAAATATATAATATTTGTGATAGAGAAAGAAAAATGATAGTGTCCAGGAGCGTCGACATCATACACTTGTCGGACACGGACATGTTACTCTAGTTGAAGTGTTCGTGCAACACGCATTCTGAAAGTTATATCTTGAAGGTTGATTTTGACATCACGTTTAAAAGTTTCAACTAGTGTTTTGATGCTTGAAAGAAATCATGTTTTTAAAATATTATTTTGAGGATTTACACCTCGAATCATGCAGCACTTAACGCTATCATAAAATGCCTCAAAACCAGCACTTTAAATGCCATTTGTTAGGCTTATGCCTCGATCTACCAAGGCGACTTAGTGAGGCTAACATCTCATGCCTTAGCCACAAGGCAACTAAGGTGTTCGTCAACTTGCCTTGTATTTTTCAAACATTTAATTATTGGCCTTAGAGTTTTAGTTATTTCTTCATAACCTAAAATGTTTTATGGATTCTTGCATTTTTTCGTACTACATGGAAGGAAAATACGCTATTACAATTGGAGGATGATGACAAAGAATGAAAAGAAATTTATAATGATGAAGATGATCATGATGTTTATGATTCCCATTTAGTAGTATGATATAAGAAATTTTTGTGTTGTCTCCAGTCTCCACTTATAGTTATAGATTATAATTTTATTACATGATTACTTATTTGTTGACTTACTATTTTCTATTTTCTGACTTTTAATTTATTTTGATTAGTTTCATTATGGATTTTTTAAAAGGGTTTATGGTATATTATGTGAATAATTTTGTATTTATATTCTTTTAAGTTCTTTTATTGTTCTATCTTGAGGCTTACACCTCAAAGGCTCTCCATGAGGCATGAGATAAAACGCTTCAATACCCAATTAAGCTGTTTTAAGCATTGAATTCAGTTCTTTGATATATATGGTTCCAATTTTTATAGCCCAAAGTTCTAAATCTGGTAAATCTTTGTCTTTAGTGGTTTGGTGGTGAGAGTTCATGCAAGAAAGCGATGATACTAATTTCGAGGAAACATCTTAAGAAGGACCGAAATAGTAAGAAAGACAAATCCAACTTTCAATTAAAATTTTCTCATAAATGACCTTTCTCTAGTAAAATTTCTATAATCCAAAATTGCTCAATGTTCGAAGATGTAGAATTTCTCCTTATTTACTTTTGAAATTAGTGCCTTAAACTCTTGTTCATGTATATGGGCTGTGCGATTTTGAAAGGGAGTGAAAGTAAGAATGGGATTTATGGAGTTATGATTTTTTGTATGTATTACAAGTCACGAGAAGAAATTGAAGGAATAAGAAGAATACATTCAAGCTGGTCAAGTTGTAGTCCGAGTTGTCCCTCCTCTCTGATGGAAGGGTATCTTTAATAGGGATGGCGCTGACAATTTGATAGTTTTTAAGTCAGATCACGGATGAAGAATAATTTGACTAAAAAAATAAGAAGAAGGCCATTTTCCTTCCTGCCTTCACGGCTTCACAGTAAGGTCTTTTGGAAAACTTAGTAATTTTGAAAATCAACTTAGTAGAAGACGTCCCATGAAGATGTGATGAATTTTTTGTTAGTAGAAGCAGTCGTTGCATCAGTTACTTCAATGAATGGCTAAAAATCTTTGTAACTCACACTATGAGTCAGTAGAATAGCTGTTGTTGAGATGGGGAATGTATGCTACCTTCGTTGTCAAACAGAGAAGTTGGTAGTATTATGTACCGTGAAACTCTGTTGTAATTGATCTGCGTCTCCTAGTGCAATTAGTTGAAATTGTTATTTATTTTAAATGTATGTTTTATTTGTTCGTTGAATCCTCATGTTTCTTTGTTGCTCATATTATTTTACCCATTATATTTTTCACAGGTTTGTACCTTTGGGTCTGTACCCTTGAAGACTTATCTACCTGATGGAGACATTGATTTGACTGCTTTCAGTCATGATCAAAATTTGAAAGATACATGGGCCAGTCAAGTTCGTGATATGCTAGAGAATGAGGAGAAGAACGAGAATGCTGAATTTCACTTAAAGGAAGTCCAGTATATTCAAGCTGAAGTATGCCTTCCATGTCCTAGATTTTTGTACTTCTAATGTGTTGATTGTGTTGTGAATCCATCTTGAAGATCTTGAGCATATATCGATGTACTTTGCTTTACATTTATCTTTAACAGCATGGTAGTTGTTGTGCTGCATTCTACATGTATACATTTACCAAAAGTCTTGAGTTATGCATGTCACACTTGGAATGATTTTCTGATGCTTGCTATTTACATACCATATGTAGTCACTTTGAGTAGAAGAAAACCGACTAGATACCAGCAGTTGCCCTATATCAAATCTCACTGTTTTATATGATGAGTATAGTTGTGTTCACAGAAGCACTGCAATAAGGTTATGAACCATGGTCAACAGTGAAGAATTATACTGAATCGTTGTGTGCAGCCTCTCATGCAGAACCTGAGAAACACATCATCGTGCATATGTTTGCCCTTTGCTGGAGAATTATACTGAATCAATTTAATGACGCACCCGGTGAAACTAATATATGTTATTCATTCCCAACTTTGAATGTCAACTTTTGTTCGTGGTCTAGATGTTTTGAGCAACTATTTTGACTTGGGCTTGCCATCTTTTATATACTAATGCTAGTGAGGGTGACGAATGGGAGAACTCTGCTTTGTCAAGGATTGCATGTTGTAGGATACCAAGTTCATGACAAAAAATGTGTTTCCTTTGACATCAGTAACCCTTTTCTTTTCTACATTGTATTAGAAAAGTACCTTGAGGTTTAAACTTTTAGTTTTTCACTGTGATGGTTTGGATCCATTTTATATTTCCTAAGTTGCTCTATTCTTACCCTCCATGAGTTGCTAATTTCCTGCCAACAAGTTTCTTAGATTTCTTGCTATGCATTCTGTAACGATCCGGACTCTATGCCCGAGCCGTTATATTATATGTACTGTGTATTTTGGGTGGACAAATGCCCAATTGGTACAATAATTCAACTTAAGTCTCTCATTAGGCAGATATCTTGTGTTCGAATCCTGGACGGCTTTCTATCGCTTTCCCCAGTATTTGAACCCAAGACCTCTGCCTAATGAGAGACTTAAGTT